CTGGGAGCGGAGGGAAATCTAAAACAAAACCCCCCCCAAAAAAAAAAAAAAAAAAAAAAAAGGAAACTAAATTTTTAAAAATTTCATTTTATTTATTATTATTATTTTATTTGACCAGAGAAAGACATAAAGGGAGAGGAAAGGAGAGTGAGAAAGCAGTCACCAGGTCCCAGACTCAAACTGCAGCTGGCCTCATGGGAATTCAGTGCCTTAACCACCATGCCATCTGCCAACTCCAAAAAACTACATTTTAATGTTTTCCATTAAAACTATTTCCATTATATTTACCAGTCTTTTAGTTTAATCAGTTCTTTTGGAAAATACTTTTCTGATATTAAGATATTTTCCAGACACTTTGAGATACTAAGATATTTTAAGACATTAAGAGATTTAATGTTAAGATATCAATATATTTTCCACTGTGTACACTCACCAGAATGAGAGGGAGAGAGACAAAGCACACCCCACATGACCCCTTCTCTTCCATTTCGCCATCCCGTTGGGATGGAACACATGCGCACACATGGGGCATGTTTTTCAAGCCATCAGGGCCAGTTTTCCACACACTGTCAGCCATGTGGGATTTCAGACTCTTAACCACTAAGATCATTGTCTGGCCTTTCAATAACCTTCTAAAGCTCTAAAATTTAGCATCGACTGTGCTCTGTGTGTTCTGTATTAAGGTCTGAGGTGAGGACTGATGTCAAGAGTCTGTGTTGAGAGTTTTAGGCCCTAGATTTCTAGGCAGCTTCTCTATGAAACTATATCCTGTTTACTAGTATTGTAGAATGCAAGGAGATTTTTATGTGTGTGTGTGTGTGTGTGTGTGTGTGTGTGTGTTTTTAAAACAAAATGCAGTTTTATACTACATTTTATTACTTCATACAGAAAATACATGCTGCTGATCTATGCAGATGGTGTAGTGGTTACATCACTGGACTCCCACATGGCCAACTGCAGTTCGAGTCCTGGACCCAGTGCCTTGAAACTCACACTGGGCATGTGTGCATACGTGCCCGGGAGGAGAATGGAGGAGAAAAGCTTGCACCAAGGCCATCCCCCCCACCCCCCGGGGATGATTTCTCATTTTCCCTCTCACAGTCTGTCTCTCTCTCCCCAGCAAGTGCATGCACTCTAAGGCAAAAACCTCTTTAAAAAAAAATAAAGATGAACACTTTCTAAAGAATTTCTTTTGTCTTTTGAGGCTTGAGGTTCCCCTTAAGAACAAATCTTTCTCACAGAGAACCCCCACATTCCACACAGAGAGATGACCACTCTCATAAAGCAAGGAAGCGAATCATTCCAGGTTCTTCTAGTTGTCTTGCCTATCTCAATGGCCAGTCCCTGGAGCTGTCCAAGGTCTCGTTTCTTGCCCTTTCTGACTCTGACTCCTTTCATCATCACACCAAGAGGCAGCTGACAGCACTGTGGAAGAATAGTCACTCTGAAGTGGGCTGGCTGGCTGGGTTTAAGTCCCGGCACCAGCATTCAACAGCTGTGTGACCTTGAGTAAGCCATCTAATCCCTTTGGGGCCCAGTTTCCTTGCCTGTTAAAACAAGGATGGAAACATTAGTACTTAATTTATAGGTTATTGTGAGGATTTAATCAACTACTCTTTGTAAAAGCATTTCTTACAGAGACTGGCAAATAGAAAGGTTTGGGATCCCAACTTTCTATCATAAAAGGATGTTAAACTGCGCAGTTCTTTTGCTCTTGGAAATATTGCTCTGGCAATCATGAATACAGAGGGGGGCATGAGGAAGTGGAAAGAATGCTCACAGAACTATGACTTAGGGCGTCCGAGGCATCCTGGCTCGGCCCTGAACCAACCGTGGGCCCCTTGCTTAGGTAATTCACCTGTCTGAACTCGGTTTCTTCCTCTCTAAAACGAAGGGCTTAAACTTCAGTCAATAATCTCGCTGCTTTGGTATCCTGAGTCACATTCCCTTCTCTGCCCTCAGTGCGGTGACTGGGCTTCGTTGCTTGTAAACTGGAAAAGTAATTCGGCACCTACCATTAGCAGGAGGCCACAGCCGGGCGCAGGCAGCCCAGGGCGCCACTGTCTAAGTAACTCCAGGAGAAGGAGGCCGCTATTTACGAGGGAGCGAGCAGAGGGTGGCATCAGCGCCGCTTTCGGCACATCCGAAGGCCTGCCAGACTCACTGGCAGGAGCGGTCACGATGTGTTGCTGGAAACCCCAGCTCTGCTGGGAGGATTACTGGGTCGCGGGCTACCCGGGACACGAAAAGCCTTCCTGAGCCGCTCAGCACAAGGCGCAAATTGATGGGAGCGGTGTAGACCCGCCTTCGGCTGTGTCGCCACTTCCCATCTCCGCTTTACCAGGGGTCTTCCCTGCAGACTCAGCTCCCCTCCCCAGGCGTCTGCAACGGGTGTCCCCGCCTGCGCGCCCCCTCTTTTCCGCCCTCCCGCCCAGCTGCCATAGAAACCGGCCTACCGGGTCCGAGCCAGCGTCCGGGTGCCCGCCCGCCCCCTGTCCAGCCCCCCGCTCCGATTGGTCCTTCGGGAAACGCTGCCGGGCGCCTCAGTGCCCC